AAAACAAGAAGGGTTCCTAACGGTGAGGAAGCACTGCAGATGTGTCGGGACAAGTGTGGGAATCAGCACGTTCACCGCTTCCAGCCAGAAAAAGCGGTCGTACCTGCTTTACATCTGATTAGCCGTGAGTTTCATGGGAAAGAAAAGAACTGAATTTGTGTGCGACACCAAACTGAACGAAACAACATTCTGAGAGGATGACGAACGGAATAAAACACTCTGAAAACATGTGCGAATTTCACAGTTCTCACACAATTTAGACCCAACCGTGAAAGTTTAGTGCTTCCTTAACGTCTTCACATTAGATAAATAATGGATTGACAGCAGCTGGTTAACGAAGGGGTCATTTAAGAGCAGCAGTTAATTAGTGCAGTTTGCCAAGTCAGGAATCATTACTCCGCATGAATGAGCAAAACGGGTACGACGTCACCTAGCAACCAGCTGGAGCACCCTAGCAACTGCATTGCAACACTGACGTCACCTAGCAACCAGCTGGAGCACCCTAGCAACTGCATTGCAACACTGACGTCACCTAGCAACCAGCTGGAGCACCCTAGCAACTGCATTGCAACACTGACGTCACCTAGCAACCAGCTGGAGCACCCTAGCAACTGCATTGCAACACTGACGTCACCTAGCAACCAGCTGGAGCACCCTAGCAACTGCATTGCAACACTGACGTCACCTAGCAACCAGCTGGAGCACCCTAGCAACTGCATTGCAACACTGACGTCACCTAGCAACCAGCTGGAGCACCCTAGCAACTGCATTGCAACACTGACGTCACCTAGCAACCAGCTGGAGCACCCTAGCAACTGCATTGCAACACTGACGTCACCTAGCAACCAGCTGGAGCACCCTAGCAACTGCATTGCAACATTGACGTCACCTAGCAACCAGCTGGAGCACCCTAGCAACTGCATTGCAACATTGACGTCACCTAGCAACCAGCTGGAGCACCCTAGCAACTGCAAAACGGGTACGACGTCACCTAGCAACCAGCTGGAGCACCCTAGCAACTGCATTGCAACACTGACATCACCTAGCAACCAGCTGGAGCACCCTAGCAACTGCATAGACAAAACTGACGTCACCTAGCAACCAGCTGGAGCACTCTAGCAACTGCATAGCAACACCGACATCACCTAGCAGCCAGCTGGAGCACCCTAGCAACTGCATAGCAACACCGACATCCCCTAGCAGCCAGCTGGAGCACCCTAGCAACTGGATAGCAAAACTGACGTCACCTAGCAACTGCATAGCAACACCGACATCACCTAGCAGCCAGCTGAAGAACCCTAGCAACTTCATAGCAACACTGACATCCCCTAGCAGCCAGCCTGAGCACCCTAGCAACTGTATAGCAACACTGACATCACCTAGCAGCCAGCTGAAGCACCCTAGCAACTGCATAGCAACACCGACATCCCCTAGCAGCCAGCTGGAGCACCCTAGCAACTGCATAGCAACACAGACATCCCCTAGCAGCCAGCTGGAGCACCCTAGCAACTGCGTAGCAACACCGACATCACCTAGCAACTGCATAGCAATACTGACATCACCTAGCAGCCAGCTGGAGCACCCGAGCAACTGCATAGCAACACCAACATCACCTAGCAGCCAGCTGGATCACCCTAGCAACTGCATAGCAACACCGACATCACCTAGCAGCCAGCAGGAGCACCCTAGCAACTGCATAGCAACACCGACATCACCTAGCAACCAGCAGGAGCACCCTAGCAACTGCATAGCAACACCGACATCACCTAGCAACCAGCTGGAGCAACCTAGCAACTGCATAGCAACACCAAACACCACTCACATTGTCTTCAGGAAACATAAACATCCAGTTGGTTTCAATAGTTTGTATTTAAGGAACATTGAGCACATTTTCTGGGAGATTTAAAGTATTATTCATCTACAACAAGTGCCTAAAATGACTTTTCATTATCAATAAAGGCACTTTAGAAAACACATTTGGAATATTAGTATTTGGGATCGCTAGTAATCAGTGATTAGGAGCAACAGTATTATAAAGCTTGGTCAGTTTGATTAGGTAAAAGTGCATTGCCAATGTAATGGCTCATGAGTTATTAAAGGAACAGTTCGCCCTAAAATGAATTATGGACTCGTATTTTAGTTAAAAACGTCTTAATGATGGATTTGTGTGGTCAAGACGTTAATTGCTGGACTGGAGTGGTTACTTGTGGATTATTGTGATGTTTTTATCAGCTCTCGTTCTGACGGCACCCATTCACTGCAGTGTTTGGGGTGAACTGTTCCTTTCTGGCCATGGAATCAGACTCCGTCTTAAACCATTTAAACAGCAGCTTTCTAAACATCACCTACGGCACATAAACACACTGAAATCACATTTATGGGATAACAGTCTCAAGACATGTTCATTCCAGCATCTGGAAGATGATCAGAAGATGATTTAAAGGCACAGCGACTAAAACAGGGGAGCAAGAGGACAATCACATGCAACAGCAACATGATATCATGACACACAAGAGTGCATCCGTGAAAATATCCATTCAAAAATAATCTACACGCTTTTAGAGCTTCATAATACTGAAATACTGGTGCATAATTTGATAAAGGAGATGATTGCATTAAAAATTTGTTCCAGTTGCTCATCCTCGTCCATCCTAAAATATAAAAGGTATGTATAAAGACCCAAGTTCACAAGCACCTCAGCTGATCTCAGAGTAATAATGTCTTTGCATAGGTCTCTATTATTCACACGGCCGTCTCAGCCAAACAGATTGGACAAGGGTCTGGATTTGACCGGGCTCTTGAGCGACTCCTCGCCTTCCTCGTTCTCTCTGAACGAAGTGCTGTGGACGATCTGTGTCTTGAAGCGGTTCCTCTGCAGTCTGATGCGGCCGATGGAGGATTTCCGATACAGAGACCTGGGCCTGGGTTGACCGTCGGCTGTCATCTCTTCAGGGTGGTTCAGTAACCGTAGGAGGTTGAGATTGGACTGTAGGACTTTAGGAAGCTTCCATCGCCCGGCTCCAGATGCGTTCTCTGTGTCAGAGTTCGCACAAGCTCCTATGATGTCCTTGATGTCGCATGTGACGCTGGCACGGAGGTACTGCGCTGCTTTCTTCCCGCTGTAATCCCGCACATCCACGTCAGCATCATACGCTCCCACCAGAAGCTTCATGACCTCTATATGATTGTGCATGGCTGCCAGGTGCAGAGGCGTGTAGCCGGCGCTGGAGCGGGCGTTTACGTTGATGGTGACGCTGTGCCGTTTGGCGAAATCCACCAGCATTGCGAAAAGCTCGTGTTTGCCTTGCTTGGCCGCCCAGTGCAGACACGTAAACCCCGTGACGAAGTCCTTCTTGGAGATGAGCGTGGGTTCACACTCGAGCAGCCGCTGCAGACTGTCCCACTCGCCGTCTGCCGTGCACATCATCCACTCGTGCTCCAGCGGGTCTAAAGTTACTGAAGCACAATCCTCATCCACAGACGACGTTCTGAACTCACTGCTTCTGGCTGACATGTGCCCTTGGGAGTTACGGTGCACCAGTGAGCGTCTCACCTGCATATGCATTACATATTATATGCATTATGTACATTTGGATTATATATTATATGCATTATAAGCATAATTATTATTACATGCATATGCATCATATATTACATTCATTATGATTTTGTACTATTCATTACATGCATATGCATTATGTGATTTTGCATTATATATTATATGCACATAATGCATGCATTAATGATTATGCACATAATGCAATATAATCCAAATGCACGCATTATGTGCATATGCATCATATATTACATGCATTATTCGTTATATATTATATGCATTATGAGCATAATGTAGATTTGCACTATTATGTGCATTTCCATTGTATATTATATGCATTATGTGCTTTTTCATTATATATGATATGGATTGTTTATTACATGCATTACATTACTGTATTTGCACCCGTCCCACCTGTGGAGAACTGCTCATCATGAGCTCTATGAAGTTCTTGCGGCTGCATTTTGGGGTGCTGCCATCCTCAGGTAGTGCCTCATGGGCTCCATCCTCAGAAGAGCCCAGCAGACTCCGCAGAGATCCCCTGGATGTTCTCCGTCCAGTAACGATGACCTGTGGCGTGACGGGAGCCCTGCAAACCCCAGCCTCTCCTGTTGACCGGGCATCAGAGAGCTCAGGAGCATTCGGTTTGGTATCATTTCCATGCACAGTTTCGTGTTCCCCCGAGAGCTCGCGGTCTTTCTCAATCAGAGCGATGTCAGACACACACAGCTCCTCCTCAGCATCTCGCACAGCTTTCAGATCACTGATTTCTTCATGCACGAAATGCAATGCATTGATTCCTCTGTTGATGTCTTCATCACCACCACCATCATCATCATCCTGCGCGCGCCCACTGCTGATCTCCGGGTATCTGTACTTCTTCTTCAAGCACACCACTTTCTCCCCGTGCTCTTGCTTCACGGAGGCGATATTGTCCACATAATCCATAATAACTCTTCCTCCAGTGAGTCAGTGTTCTGGTGTGAATCAGGAGAGAAATCTGCACAGATCAAGCAGCGTTTAAACAGCTCTAAACACATATGTGTCTGGATTTTGATGTGAGAGACAACAGCAGATGCACTCTTTCACTGGAGGAAGAGTTATTATGGATTATAGACTCTATGGTCTTTTAGTTAAAAACGTCTTAATGCTGGATGTGTTTCAGCTTTTGTCTTCTCCAGATGTTCACTGATGGACTGGAGTGCTGTGGATTACTCGTGATGTTTTGATCAGCTTTCGTTCTGACGGCACCCATTCACTTGCAGTGAGACACTGATGCAATGCTACATTTCTACAAATCTGATGAAGAAACAAACTCATCCTGAGACATGTTCATTTTCATCTGAACTGTTCCTTTAATGAAGAATTATATCCGAAACCTGGTCTTTTCTGCGTATATCCCGGCGTTCTCTCTCTCCGTGTAATAGTTACCAGCACATAGTGGATTACATCGACACGCAGTCCGAGTCGTACTTACAGGAGGAGCTGAAGATCAAGCGCTCGCTCCATAACTACCTCGACTCCAGGATCCACGCGTGTCTGTACTTCATCGCTCCGTCCGGACACTCGCTCAAATCCCTAGACCTGGTCACTATGAAGAAACTGGACAGCAAGGTCAGACTGCGATTATTCCCGAGCTTCTTCCTCTCTGCCGTAATGTGTTGATATGTTTTAGACGTGGCCGGTGGCTAAACACAAGCCTGTGGTTTCTCTACACAGGTCAACATCATCCCCGTCATCGTTAAAGCCGACACCATCTCCAAGAGCGAGCTGCACAAGTTCAAGATCATGAGCGAGCTGGTGAGCAACGGCGTGCAGATCTACCAGTTTCCCATCGACGACGAGACCGTGGCCAACATCAACACCGCCATGAACATCAGTCCTGAGAGAGAGCACAGAAACAGCTGGAAGAAGGGGTTATGTGTGCCGTATTCGCTTTTAACCGCCCTGAAGGATCTATTAAACCATCAAAATATATGTCCCTGGAGCACAAAAGCAGTGTTGAGTCGCTGGGGGATATTTGTAGCAATAGCCAACAATACATTGTATGGGTCACAATTATACATTTCTCTTTTATGCCAAAAATCACAGATTAATGCTTACCATTAAAGTTATAAAACGTATTTTTTAGTTTAGTTTATAGTTTATCCACATACTGTTACACAACATGCGTTCTCTTTTTCAACTAGGCATGGGCCGGTATGAGATTTTTGACGGTATGATAACCTTAAGCAAAAATATCACGGTTTCACGGTATTGTTGCTGCAGCTCTAAAATGTGTTAATTTGAAATGTCTGGGTAAAAAAAAAAAACTGAACATAATATATTTTGAGCAACATACAGAATATTTGGAACAGTAGTATTTGTTTATTCTTTCTTTGATTTGTTTCTGAAGTGTGGGCTGTCCTGCAGCTTTAGATGTGGATGGTTGATTTGCTGCTAGAGCTACTGCTGCCCTAAAAAGAAGAAAAGTTACCGCTGATACGGAGTTTCCTTGGTTACCGCTGATACGGAGTTTCCTTGGTTACCGCTGATACGGAGTTTCCTTGGTTACCGCTGATACGGAGTTTCCTTGGTTACCGCTGATACGGTGTTTCCTTGGTTACCGCTGATATGCCGTTTCCTTGGTTACCGCTGATACGGCATTTCCGTTTCCTTGGTTACCGCTGATACGGCGTTTCCTTGGTTACCGCTGATACGGAGTTTCCTTGGTTACCGCTGATACGGTGTTTTCTTGGTTACCGCTGATACGGTGTTTTCTTGGTTACCGCTGATACAGCGTTTCCTTGGTTACCACTGATACAGTGTTTCCTTGGTTACCGCTGATAAAGCGTTTCCTTGGTTACCGCTGTAAACAAAGCAGCACTGCGCTGAAACACTGCTTTAATATGAACTATACAGAGACGAGATGAAAAGAAAATACCACGTAAAGTTTTCTAAAGACAGTCAGTTCCCTTCAGAAACACAATCATATAAACCCCCAAATCAATATTGAGGATTTTCTTCCAATAGTTCGTGCCTCATGAACAGTGAGTGATCTGCCCGCTGCAGTATTTTTGTTTCCTTGGTTACCGCTGATACGGAGTTTCCTTGGTTACCGCTGATACGGAGTTTCCTTGGTTACCGCTGATACGGAGTTTCCTTGGTTACCGCTGATACGGAGTTTCCTTGGTTACCGCTGATACGGAGTTTCCTTGGTTACCGCTGATACGGTGTTTTCTTGGTTACCGCTGATACAGCGTTTCCTTACATTTGGAAAATGATATGCATCGCAACGCAGTTTGTGCAACAGAGATTGGCTGCAATAAAATAATAAACGTCCGGTTGCCGATCGCGTAAGCTCCAGGGGAAGCTCCTTAAGTTCGGCCGTCCTACACTACACACACCTACACTGCATTTTTTTTTTAATGGTTTAGTTTCAGTTTTAGTTAACTATAATAACGCCGTTTAAGGAAAACGGATTAAATTATTCAGCAAAAAAAACAATTACAGTTTATTACAGAATATAGGTGTTACTGTACAATGCAAAAAAAAAGTGCATAGAAAAACAAAACGACGACAGGACATAAAGCATATGCTGACTACAGTGCAATCAATTATTAATATTTTGTTAGTGGTCTCTTGTTTTTGATTACAGCATCCATTCTATGAGCTTTACTCATTAAGCTTTACACGCCTGATTTATTCCCAGACCTGAGATTCAGTCATAATCATGTTTCACAATCAAACTATTGACAAGTAGCTTCATCAATGATGAACTGTAATAAGAGTTAGAGGGTGTTTAGTGGGCTCTTCCTGGGTCATCTTCCGTTCGCCGTCGTCGGCAGCAGCACAGAGGAGCTGAACATCGGGAACAGTATCCCTGGGGCGTCGTGCAGGGTGAGCCTGACAGGAAGTGACAGGACAGGACAGGAAGTGACCTCATGAGTGACACCTGAAGCCACCAACCGCTGCTCCTTTAGAGTACTCAACAATACTAGAAAAGCTTGTGTGTGTGTGAAATCAAGAAATAATTAGTTTTGCCATGACGTCGATTTTAAGAGATCATACATTGGGCTGGATGGAAAAACAGGAGTATGATTATTAAACTTCAAAATGCTTTGATTGAATTAAACAAGTGTGAGCAGGTGTAAAGTAAGAACGCTGTGCTTTTGCATGTTCTGCGCAGGACTATTATAGTAAACTAAAAAAACAAAACATCTTCGTTACTTGAAATACAATAAATGTATTTCAGGCTTTGTTTATAATTAAAAGTCCAGCGTTATCTATCTATCTATCTATCTGACTATTTCTATCTATCTATCTA